AACATGTACAGACAGTGTGTATGAGGAAGGATATTTCGGAGGATGATTTGATATTAAAAGGTAGTATGTGAAGAAAATTGAGGCTCAATAGAAAGGAAGAAAGAGCAAGAAGAAAGAGACTGATGAGGGGGACACTCACAATTCTCAACTACTGGTATGGCAGGGCAACTGACCAGATTGGAGACCCAGTAAAAACAGACACTGACTATAAAAATTGATGCTATCACATCAGCACTCCTGGTTGAATATTAGACTTGCAGATAAGAACATCCAGAGAAGGCAGAGAAAATATTCCAGCTGCTTCTGCAGTTATAAGAAACTAAGGTATTCAGATATTCCTTAAATTGTCTATCCTTTAAATGCTTGAGTCATGGTTACAGGAATGATCTTCTTTTGATACTCTATTTCAAACATCATCAAAGGCTAAAGAGAACTTGTGATTAGGTATTTGAGTATATCTGTCCCACAGGGGCCAAAGTAATTATAAAGCAATTGATTAAATGCCATAACTGATTTCTTTCGTTGAAAACATTCAAATAACAGACTAAGAATTGTCAAATGTTTGTCCAGATGGAAAACTTAAGCATTGAGTATGTTAAACTTGAGTCTGGCTTCTTATGGCCACATTTAATAATAAAAAAATGACCTATGCAGTTTTTAGATTAAAAAGAATAATTTGAATAATTAAGAGTGCCCGATAGAAACGACATTTTGGATTCTCTAGTTTACTTCTTTGGTGTCAGTGGCCACACCCTTGGCACTGTCACTCAGGAAAAACTTAGATCGTCTTCTAGTCATACCTAAATGCTTTTATGGGCCAAGAAGATAGTCTCATTTATTTTCATTTCTCCTGACTTCCTGGAATAGCCCAGTAAGATGCTGGGATGGAGAGAGGATTATGGAAACATGGTTTCTCCTCTGGAGGACCCAACAGCAAAGTCATAACTCTTGGTTGTTCACGGTCTCATATGGATATGTTTTCATCCTGAATCCACAGAGAGTAAGTGTTGAAAAGAACTTTAAGATGTCTTGGTCTCACTTCTTCATTTCATAGATGAAGAGACTAATATCCAGATCGGTACCCTTGTCACAGAGACTTGCTAATGGCAAAGCCAGAATTTCCCTCTGGTTTCCTTGGGAACCGCTGCATCGCACTGCCATCACCCTGCACCTCCAATCACGATATTTCCCCTTGTGTTGGGTTGTAGTATGGTATAGCGTAGTATGGGCACAAAAGGAGAAAAGCTGCTGACAAAACCATCTTCAGAAATAGAAGACAATGCATCCGCGTCTGTGGGCACACGAGGTGGCCGCAGCCACTTTTGCTCCAAGATTTCTCTGTGGTTTACACGCTGCCATTCTAAAGTTCTTGGGAAATTTGCTGTGAGCATTTCTAAAGGAACCGTGAACCAGCCCACTGATGTTATCTTCTGCAACAGGCAGTGAAGACATAAGCATCAAAGCAATAGTAGTGCAACAGAATTACTTCCAGACAAAAAGGTCCACGTGCAAATCACCTTTCATTTTAATCCAAGGTAGATTAGACCCATTCTCATTCGATCAGTTTTTTCCCTGTGCATTTTGCTTTTGTTGTTCCCTCTGTCTTTAAAATAAAACAAGCATTATTTTTCTTCTGTATACTTTGAAAACTATTTTATTCTAGAACAAAACATCTATTCAGAAAAGTGAGCAAACATAAATGTGTGATGTAATGATTGATTAAAAAGCATATTGCCTTATTCCTACAGTCACCGCAGGTCAAGAAGTAAAACACTGTCAGCACACAGAAGCCTCTCCGCTCGGAGTTTTCCTTTCTGATTCCAACTCCACTTCCTCTTTATACAGAGGCAGCATACTGAATTTTGAGATATTCATTTAGGTTGCCTATTATGTTTGTATTTGTTTAGTCATTATGCAAGAACTCACAATATACATACCTCATTTATTAACGTTTCAGGTTACGTATACCTTCTCTATCTTCCTAGACAAAATGTTTTAGGTTGACACTTTCTTTTAGCACACTGAAGATGTAAGACGTAATTCCACTGTATCATGGCTTTTCGTGTTGATATTGAGAAACCACCTGTCAGTCTAACAGTTGCTTCTTTAAAGGTAATCAGTCTCTTTTCTCTGGCTGCGTTTAAGATTTTCATTATGATATGTCTAGATGTGCATTTTTTTAACAAATCTGCTTGTGATTTGTTGGAATTCTTGAATCTGTGAATTATAACTGCATTCTGAATAATTTGTCTAACCTAATTTTTCAGTTCATCAACTGTCTCCTTATCTAATATGCTATTAACCTCTCCACTGAGTTTCTAATCTCAGTTGGTGTGCTTTTTGCCAGTTCTAGCTGGTTCTTTTTCAAACCAGTTGACTTTTTTTTGTTTGTTTCCTGTGCTCGATAGATATTATTACAAGTTTGTCTTTTATTTCCTTAAACATAGAAAGCTCAGTTGTCTTATCTTAGGGGCCTGAAAATTTAAGTATATGACTGTGTATTTGTTTTTGTAGTCTGTGTTTCTGTTGTCTTGTTTTCTTGGTGTCTGATTATTTTTTATGGTGTGTTTGTCATTATAATTAGGTATTATTTGTAGATATGATTTAAGGCCTATGATGTAAATCTCTTCTTCCTGGAATAGTTTACATTCTCACTTTCAAAAGTCTAGAGGTGATAATAATCTAAAATCACC